AGAGAGAAAAACATCGAAATGAGAGGGACACGTGGACTGGTTGCCTCCCGCATGACCCCAACCAGTTACGGGGATGAACCACAACTGAGGTACGTGCCCTTGACTGGAATCGAACCCAGGACTCATTGGTCCACAGGCCAGTGCTCTACCGCTGAGCCAAACCGGCCAGGGCTAATACAGTAAAATTGTTTTTTCCTACTCTTTTTACCAACAGCACTCAGTAACCATTACAAACAGCACAAACTAGCAGGAGTGAGTCCTGTCCCCTGTTAAGTCTTCTGGAAACAGTATCTTGTTGTTCAGAACAAACTAATATATTCGAAATAACAGGAGTTTCTGGGAGACGTGGGTCTGGCGCCCCTCCTTTTCTGCGTGGCGAGCGTGCACGGCCGTGTCCCGGTAACACCAGATTGCCCAGCTCTCTGTGCTTTAGAATCACCTCCTTCCAGCCTCCACTGCCCTGCGAGGTGGGCACAACAATTCATCCTGTTTTGCAGATGAGGAAACCGAAACTTTCAGACTCACTACACTTGCCTAGGAGCTTGGATTAGACCTCAGTCCTAACTCAGGAACGGAGCTCATAACAGCTACCCTATGTTCCTCCTGGGCACACAGATAATGCAGAATAATCAGTGGCGATTATCACATTTCCCCAAAGTGCAACTGAGTAGGGTTTGAACTCCATTGGGGTCCTCAGCCAAGATGCCAACAGCAGACGGAGCTGATGGCTGTCTTCTCCCAGTGGGATGCTGTCCAGCTCCTGACTGGTGGCCAGGCAGCCGGTCCCCTGAGGGAGAGCGGTGTCTCCCCTCCCCCGCCCGCTCGCGGTTGCCCCCTCTGGACCGGCCCTTCCGCCCGCTCTCTCGTCCCCTTGTGCCTCCCTGGCGCGCATCGCCACGCGTCTCGTTCCTCCCCGGTTTAGGAGATAAGAGCAAGTAATTGTCTTTTATAGACACTGTAATGAAGCCTGTCATCACACAAAAGAAGCTTGCTAATAAAATAAATCAAAGCAGCAATGAAAAGGAATGGAGCAAGCTTCTACAGGGAGACTTGTGCTCGTCCAGGGGCTTGGTGCTTCCAGCGAGGCTTGTGGACGAGGGGCCCAGCACCGAGCTGCAGGCTGTGGACACGCCTTCCGGGGACAAGGCCCGGCAGGCAGGGGTGGCGTGGGGGCTGGGACGGGGCTGGACGGGGAGGCAGGCAAGAAAGCTGACAGCTGCCTGTATTTGTCACCGTCCACATGCGACAGGTCCCAGCCGGCACTGCCAACCCCCTGCTCGGCCACCAGCTGGACTCGTGCCGGTGTGTTACCTGGGCAGAGGAGAACACTCTGGGCACCTGGCCCCCAGTGGTGCCCTATGACTGAGCCCCCCCCGCCCCCCGGCCCTGGCATTCTCCTGGTCGGTTGCAGGTTCTGCCACCAACTCAGAAAAACCACTTCCTCTCTCTGAGCCTCAGTTTCTCCACTGGGGAAATTGGGCCAAAGGGCAAACGCCAGGTGAGGAGAGGGTGGCTCTCAGGTGAATGCCTTCAGTGAGGTCGCACAGCTGCCCGGGGTGGCGTTGGGACTGGGAGTGGTTTGTGCCCATCACCCCCGTGCCGTGGTTTTGTGGGTCTTGAATGGCTGCTGCCTCGGTTGTGAAGGAAGGGGGAGGGCCCTACAGGTACACAGGTAGGTGACCTGGGCCCTGAGCAGACCACAGGACCTGGCATCCAGAACCAGCTCTGACCAGCTCCCCAGCCCAGGGCGAGTCACCACACTCTATTTTGCCTCCAGCTTTTATCCTTGGAAGGAGAACCCCCTCTAGGACCCTGCCGTATAACCGGCGAACACCGTGGGCTGTTGACTGCTGTGTAGAGGCGTTCTGGGTAGCAGAGGGAGTCCTGAAGGGTTGGGCATGCCTCGCACTGCGCCCTTCCCAGGCTGCGCCGCTGCTCCCAGAGGACTCGGGAGTTTGCAACAGCTCTAGCTGAACAGGTGTCCTGTGCCTGTAAGGCAGTTCGTTTCCGAGCCAGCCGTCAGTGAAGCAGGGCCAGGGCCGGGGAGCCGTGGACTAAACCCATCCTCCAAAGCCAGGACTCCTCTGGGCTCTGGACATTCCTCTCAGCAGATCAAGGTCACCTTGGTCCCTAAGGAACCTTCAGGTTGGTGGCCAGTGTGGTCAGGGCCAAAGACAGCCGAGGTCACAGCACAGAAAAGGATTTGGAAGTTGATCATCTGTCTGCATTAAGGAAGGTTCCTTGCCAGGCAGAGCTGGAGACACAGCCTCGTTAGCTAATGCGAGTTTAATACGGAGTTGAGAGAGCTGGACGCCAGCCTAGCCAACTGCCCAGGAGACGTTCAAAAATAGAGCGGAGTAAGGTGTCCCCCACCTGCCCAGCACACTCCACCTCCCGAAAGGCAGGGGCAGCCCAGCAGCGTCCTGGGCAATATCCTCCAGACAAAAGCATCACCTCGACATCAATCACTTTGTATAAAAAGAAGAGTTATTGTTATGGGATCCTGGCGCCTGATCAATATCTCCTGCTTTGAAAATAAACTTCTTGGCTTGGCCTTGACATTAGTCTACCATCAGGAGCCCATTATCTCAAGACCAATGTTCTGTTCTATTGACTTGCTCGATTTTTTTTCTCCCCTTAGATCAGAATATAATTGCCTTTCTCCAGGCAGCACTTCCACTAATTGCAGCCCCGTGCATACACATCCCCTTGCGGAGCCCCGACAGAGTGCAGCTGGGGGTGGCTGGAGCGCAGAGCTGGCGGGGTCAGGGGACTGAGAGCCCTCAGGTGCGTGAGGCGGAAAGAAGAGGGGCCTTTCTAGAGCCCCTGAGTTAATCAAGACGTTCAACAAATCTCCAGTATCTCACTGAGCAGGTCAAGCTGACGAAGGCTCCTTTGCGCAGAATCGGCATTGGGGATGTACCCACTCCCACTCCATTCTACACATGAAGACTTTTGGTAACAGAATAATAATAATGTCCCGAATTTAACTATGTCCCACCATCGCCACAGCCCCCAAACCACAACCAAAACCATGAACCACAAACCAAAGCCACAGCTGCTCATACCTGCAGGAGCCTCCCAGGCCTTCCCTCCCCCAAGCTGGCACCTGCTGGCCATTCAGCACCATAGGCAGTCATCTTTGTGAGATAGAAACGGATTATGTTGTCTCCCTCACTGAAGACTTTCAGTGCAGACACCTTATTCTGCCTTTTCAGACCCTTACGATTGTCCCCACTCACCTCTCTGACCTTCCTTCCCATCACTTCTTCCTCTGCTCCCGGCCTCTGGTTGCTTTGTTCAGTGAGTATGCCAAGCCTGGCCCGACCTCAGGGCCTTTGCACTTGCTCTTCTCACCACCTGTTCTCTCACCACTCAGATCTTTATGTTGTGTTTACCTTCTCATCATGTCAGGCTTGCCTCAGATGTTCCCTGCTGGATGAGGCTTTCCCTGGCAGGTGTGGGAGGTGTAGCATCCATACAATGAGTCTGTCCAGGGACCTCACTTCGGCTTCCTTACAGCACACATCACCATCTGGAACAGTCTCCCTGTGTTAGTTACCTACTGCCACAGGGAAGAAATTATGCCCAAAGCATAGCATCTGAAAACAGTAATAAAGAGTTATCACTGGAAGCTGGTGTGGGGCAGGGCCTAGGGAGTGGCTTGGCTGGACAGTCCTGCCTGGGTCCGTCAGCCAGCACCGCAGGCTTGACGGGGCTGGGATCAGCTTCTGAGACGGCTCATCCCTGCGGCTGGCAGTTGGCACTGGCAGCAGGAGGCCTCATCTCACCACCTGGACCTCTCCACAGGGTCACTTGAGTGCCCCTAAAGCAAGTGACCCCAGGGGTAAGGTGGAAGCCTTATCACCTCTGCAGTATCCTATTGGTCACACAGTTCAGTCCTCATGTGGAAGGAACCCATTTGGAAGGGAACTGCATAGGGTGCAAACACGAGGAGGCGGGGCTCATTGGAAGGGCCATCTTCGAGCCTGTACCACACTCCCCCTGTGAAAGCAGGAGCCCGGCTGGCTTGTTCACCGCTGCGTGTGCCCAGCACAGGGTTTGGCATGTAGCAGATACTCCATAAATATTAGTCAAATGTATGAATGAATTATGGCGTATAACACGGCTGTGTCTGTGCCAGGTCTTGTGGTGAACACTTTACATGCACTGTGTCCCCCCCATTTAATCCTGTCAGATGAGAACACTGAGTCTCAGAGGAGTGGGTACCTCCATCACAGTCACAAAGCTGCTAAGTGGCGGAGGTAGGATTTGAACCCAGGACTGCCGAGGAGGGTCTGTTTAAGCTGGGCCCCTCAGTGGGTGTGAGTCAGTGTTGATTGTACTTATTAAGAATTTTCAAATTGCTGTCAGACTGACGTGCAGTCAAACTCAGCAGCTCTGTGATGCCAAGTAGAGAGGGAGACACAAGGAGGAACAGCGGGCCCCTCACTGCATCGATCCCGAGCGTACCGGGCTGCAGGGACAGGGCAGTGGCCTCCAGAATCTAATGCCACAGTCAGTAAATAGACAGTCTGTGTGCTACCCTGTCCCTTCTCATACCTGCGGCAGACCTCGCTGAGCGATCACCCAGTCTTTCCCACTCAGCCCCCGTGCCACCTTGGAACCCGTCTCGGCAGCACACCTCATCCCGTTGTTTGGAGTGCAGACCCTGGAGTCAGCTAAAGCTGAGTGTGAATTCTGGCTCCACCACTTACTCACCCTGTGGCTTTAGAGAAGCCTCTAAGCTTCTCTGAGCCTCGGTTTCTTCATCTGTGAAATGGAGCTGTCACCACCTACGATACAGGTGTTCTGACGAAGCTGAAGCACGTACGTCGTGTCTGGCAATGAGTAGGCACACGGTGCTGTGTTCTCTCCGTCTCCAGTTCTGGGAACCGGGCTTTAGTCGACGATCCAAGCTGATGCTTCCCATGAATGCGTGAAGGAGGGGACGATGGACTGGAGGCAGAAATATCATCTCTCTCCGTCTCACTCTGCAGGTGTGGATGTGTGGGGGCCGCATGGAGGACATCCCCTGCTCCAGGGTGGGCCATATCTACAGGAAGTATGTGCCCTACAAAGTCCCCGCTGGAGTCAGCCTGGCCCGGGTAAGCTGGCGGCTTCCCTGGAAGGGTTGGGGGAGGGTTGGCCTAGGCTCGTTAGCAGAGCAGAGACCCTCTGAGCACCCGGCACCCCAGGCCAGGTGATCCCTAGGTGTGCCCCCCACCACTCTCCAAGTGCAACCCAGTGTAAAAGCACTTAACGTAAAAGAACTTATTACCTGTGTGACCTTGAGAAGGTTGTTTAACGCCTCTGAGCCTGTGTTTCTGCCTTTGTTTAAAGGAAGCTAATTTTTTCCCAACTTTTAGCATTGCCAGGAGAATGAAGGAGATGGCAGTGTCCCAGCACGTGGCGGGCAAGATGACTTGAGGTGGTAGACATAAGAACATTTTTATTCACGTGTGTTTAAATTAATGTGGATTCGAAATTAACATGTATTAGTGCAGCAAACTTGCGATTTCACAGACCTCATTACTTAGGATAAAGCTAAGTTTGCCCCGGGGAGATGGAAAGAAACTTTCAGTAGATAAATATTAATGCAGGCTGAGTGGTGTGTTTGGGAAATCCTGACACACGACACTTAAAAGTTTCTGGCACAGGGGCCCTTAGTAAATGTCAGTGTCTTTCTGTTTTCCTCACTCCCCACTTTTATTGCCAAAAATTCTGTGTGTCAGACTATTTCAGGCCTTCAGATGGTTTATATTGATCATGGCTTGAACTAAATTGGCCACTGGCTACAAATGGAAATCTGTTAACCAGAGGTTTGGTGTTTTGGGGGGGAGGCGGGTATGAATGATCTCTCACTAAACTTTAATAGTAAATCCTAAAATATGAAGTGTCTTGAGAAAAAGAAAATCAAGGTGACCACAAAAGAAAATGGAAGAGAAGGGCGTGTCCCCAGAGGGTAAAGAGGGTCGCAGGGAGGCTTGGGGACGCTTGAAAGGTCACCTGCTCAGCTTTGCTTGTGGAGACACCCCTCCCCTCCCCCACCACCCCAACAGTGCCTCCATCCTGTAAGACTGTTTGGCATCAGCCGACGACGTGCCGGATTGCAGCCCTGGGTCCTGGAAGAGCCTCTGCCCTGCAATTTACAAGAAGACTTCGAGGTTCTAAGAGGCAGCGGTCTCCCCGGCTCCATCCGAGGATGGGAAGCTGTCTTTTGAGGCGGCTTGCTACCAGGCTATGCGGCCGGCCTTGAGGGAAAGGAGGGTCGACAGTGCCCTCTAGTGGTCGAAGGTTGCAACAACAGCGGCCCAGCCTTTTGCTCTTTGGACAGCTCCATCCAACTGGGGACGGGTTCTAGGTTCAGCAGGAGAAGCAAGAATCATGATTCATCTGAAATACCATTTGCAATCTCAGAGAAGGTGTCAGGCAGGAAAACAGCACAACATCTTCAGTAAGCCAAGACCGACTCTTCCAGCTCTTAAGGACGGTGGGACCATGGGCAGACCTATGACCCCTGAACTGTTCCCAAACATCCTCTCCCTGTCCAGAGCTGTCATTTATAAGATCCGCCTTGTAAAGAGGCACTACCCCTTCCTGTTTATGGAACCCAGATGGATTCAGGGGTAACAGCTAACTATAGTAACACAAAAACTTCTGTGAGGTGGGCATCTCTCGAAGCATCCTTCGTACTTATCCGACTTAAATCTCACTTGTTTTTAATCCCCATTTTAGACATGAGGAAAGTGAAACATAGGGACATTAAGTACCCAGAGCCAGAACTCAAACCCACTTTAGGTCTGACCGGTGCCTGGGACAGAGCATTTGTCCCTTAAATAGTCACTGCTGGTGTTAATACCAATATTCAGGTCAGCATCAACATTAGCAAGACGGGAAGTTTATTTCGATGTCTTATCTGAATTCCGTGTTTATACATCTGAACTTCTGTTTGTCCTGAATCAGCTTCCTGTGCCCTGAAACCCGTTAACCATTAGAGTGGCGCCCATGGAAATGTGCAGCACCACAGAGCTGGCTGGTCCCCTGACGTCCGATCTCAGTGTCTAACTACCCTCGTCTGGTTGCAGATCAGCTTCTAAATGTTTGCTCCGTGTATGAACAACCAGTTCCTTCTAGAGCATTCTCTCCGGGAACATCATTTTGATAGATTTGAGGAGAGGTTGTCTCAAAGCCCTGAGAGGGCCCGGTACAGAGGGCAGCCAGCGTCGTGCTGAACTTGTGCCAAACCCGGGAGGACAGGCAGCCAGACAGCAGTGAGTCGCACTGCGGGAGGAGGGCTGACCACCGGCGTGCGGCCTCCAGAGCAAGCAGCCAGCCTTCACTGGTTCACTGATGTGCTAGAATCCTCTCTCTCTCTGGGAAAGGGGTCTCAGGGAAGGCAGTGACAGAAACCCATTCAAACTTGGCGAAACCAAACTGGAGGCTTACTCCAAGAATCGGGCAAATCTCTGTCATCCAGGCACAAGAAGCGCAGACTGGGGCCCAGAACTAGGAAGGCGTTAGGAGGAGGAATAAGAGGACCGTGCAGCCCACTGGAGTCCTAGGGTCCCTTCATGATTGTAATAGAAATAGATGTAACAGAAATAAAGTCCTTTACATTAGTCCAGTCACCTGTACAAAAGTTCAAGATCTGGAAGACATGACTTATTACACTGAGTCTGGAAAATGCAGTGTTCATTGAAATAGCAATTTATTTATTTTATTTTCCTTTTTTTTTTTTTTTTAATTTCTTGGAGTGATATTGGTTCACAAAACCGTACAGGTTTCAAGTGTATAACTGAACAAAATATCATCTGCTCACTGCATTGTGTGTCCATCGCCCCAAGCAAAGTCCCTTTCCGTCCCCCTTTTCTACCCCTTTGCTCACCTTCATCTACCCCCCAACCTTCCTTTCCCTCTGGCAAAAAAAAAAAAATAGTAATTTAAATATCAACTAAAATTAAAATATGTGGGATTTGATCCTTTGAGAATGACACTGGTGAATCTCGGCACCTTTCCTTGGTCAGAGTGGCCGCCCTTGCCTGTGGCTGGAGCAAACTGGACAATGGGCCACAGGACCTGGGGAGCGGGCAGCCCGCAGCAAGGAGAGCTCCAGCTCTTGGCCTCCGGCTTCCTCTGGGCACAGCTTGCAATTAAACCCGGACTTTGCCTGCAGGGGCCTGCTGGGGACCTCTCTTTCTGGGTGACTGCTGACCTCTTCAGCACTCAGGAGGGAGGCAGTGGCGAGAGAAGTCCTTAGTTTCTTAGTTCCAAACTCAGAGCCACACAATCGAGGAGTTGGTGAGTTTTGTCTTTGGTACCAGGGCCTCCCTCCTGTTGGTTTCCTTCCTCCTCACTCAGGCCAAACTGTTTTCCTGGAGCCCGTGAGCTAAGAATGGTTTTTATATTTTAAAATAGTTGGTGGGGGGGGGATCAAAAGAAGATTATTTTGCGAAACATGAAAATGAAATTTCAATGTCCATAAAGTTTTATTGGCACGCAGCCACACGCATTGGTTTACATCGTGTCTAGGGCTGCTTTATAGCTACATCATCAGAGTTGAGATCATATGGTTTGCAAAGCCTAAAATATTTATTATCTGGCCCTTTACAGAAAACATTTGCCGACCAACCGACCCTCCCCTCCCTGCCTTACGTCTGCTTCTAGGGCAGTCATTTACACTGAGGTGTGAATGACTGATAACAGCCTAAGTGCTGACTCCCTTTTAGCCTTCAGAAGAACATTTGGATCGCAGTAGGGAAAAAAAATTTTTTTATGATGGAGATAAAGCCTGGAGACCTAAATGTGTGTGTGTGGAGGATGGGGGGATTGCTGGCCACAGCCAGGGGTTACAGGGTGATCTTTTTTGAGCAGGGACTCCCCCTAAACCCTGAGCGGTGCCCTCGCAGCGCCAGCAGGTGGTGTCTCCACTGCAGATGGGACAGGAACGTTCATCTCAGTCACACAGTTTGCTCTCCTGCATCTGCTCGCAAGCAGGGATTTCCTCACCTGCCGCTTCTACTCACCAACAACGTGGTTACATTTTATATGGATTATCCTTCAAAATAAAAGTAGCAGCAACTGTCCCACCTTAAAAAGTTATTTCAAATTCCAGCTGCTGATGGAATTCTACCTTTTGGTTGCAAAATATCATTTGTTTTTACCATGCAACTTGGTCGGCACTTTTAGTTGAAAATGAAAGAAACCGCCCTGGCCGGTTTGGCTCAGCGGTTAGAGCGTCCGCCTGCGGTCCAGAGAGACCCGGGTTCGGTTCCCGCTAAGGGCATGTACCTCGGTTGCAGTTTGTCCCCGGCCCTGGTTGGTCGTGCGGGTGGCAGCCACTCGATGTGTCCCTTCACATCGATGTTTCCCTCTCTTCCTCTCTCTCCCTCCCACTCTATCTGTACAAAAAAAAAAAAAAGGAAAAATGTCCTCGGGTGAGGATTAAAAAAAAAGAAAATGAAAGAAACCCAACTTAAATTGGCTTAAGCAGAAAGGGAGCTGACTGACTGGTGTAAATGGAAAGTCCTGAGGTGGTTCAGGCTTCAGGCATGGCTGGATTCAGGTACTAAAAGAGGAGTGTGTTCCTCGCTCCAGCCCTCAGCTCTGTTTCATTCTGGGTTGACATCAGCCGTAGACAGGCTTCCCATACAGCCCAGCTGCTCTGGTTGGCACTGTACCCATGAGAGCAATCCAAACAGAAACACAGCAGTTCTTTTTCAGGTTCCAGCAAAATTCCTGGGCTAGTCAATGCCTGCTGGTTCTGATTGGCTTGGCTTAGGTCACGTGCTCACTGCTGACCAATCCCTGTGTCCAGGGCAGTCTGTATTCCCATTAGCCAGGCTGAGTCCTGTGCCACAGGAGGTAACAGTGCGGCAAAGGTGGGTCCCGGAAGGAAAACGAGTGGAAGCCTGTCACTAGAGAAAAAGAGGGCATGGAAATGGGCAGGCAAAACAGCAGCAGCCTGTTCCTCAGTCATACGCTGTAGAGTCCTTAAAACATAAATAGCCCTGGCGGGCATGGCTCAGCTGATTGGAGTGTCATCCTGTGCACCAGAAGGTGGCAGGTTCGATTCCGGGTCAGGGCTCATGCCTGGGTTGCAAGTTCAATCCCTAGTAGGGACGTGCGTATGGGAGGCAACCAATCGATGTTTCTCTCTCATTTCAATGCTTTTCTCTCTCTCCCTTCCTCTCTCTCTTTAAAAACAAAACAGAAACACATAACTAATAGACATAGAGGGCTTACAAAGATGGTGGAGCTAGGGTCCTTGACCTCAACCTCCAGAGCCCTTTGCACCCTACACCCAGGCCTCAGCCCCCCGGAGTGCCTGACCCTTGCACCTGCCTGTCGCCCCTGCAGAACCTGAAGCGCGTGGCCGAAGTGTGGATGGACGAGTACGCGGAGCACATCTACCAGCGCAGGCCCGAGTACCGCCACCTCTCCGCGGGCGACGTGGCCGCGCAGAAGAAGCTCCGCAGCTCCCTCGGCTGCAAGAGTTTCAAGTGGTTCATGACCGAGATCGCCTGGGACCTGCCCAAGTTCTACCCGCCTGTGGAGCCCCCCGCCGCAGCCTGGGGGGAGGTGAGTCTGGAGGGTAGGACCACCTACATTATTGGGGCCCGGTGCAAAATGCAGACGTGGACCCCTATTCTCAAGACAGGGAAAAGTGCCGATAAAAGCATAAAATGAAAACTCTTTCTTGTTTTTCCCAGTTTCTCTCTAGTCTTGTTGTTTTTATTCTTGTTGTTTTGAGGGGGTTTTTGTTTGTTTGTTTGTTTGTTTCTGTTTAATGATCTAAGTAGAGAAAAATTAAAACTTTAAATGATTAGCATAAATTTTACCATTCATCTTTATATTATGCACTGCTGGTTTGGGGGGAGGTGTTTGTTTTTTTTATTTTCTTTTCCTTTATTGATTTCAGAGAGAGAGGAAGTGAGAGATAGAAACGTGGATGAGAGAGACCATCGATTGGCGCCTCCTGCGTGCCCCCCACTGGGGATCCGGCCCACAACCTGGGCATGTGTCCTGACCGGGAATGGAACTGGCAACCTCTTGGTACATGGGTGGACACTCAACTACTGAGCCACACCGGCAGGACTGGTTTTAGGTTTTAAATGCACGTAGTAGGATTTAACGCATGTGCGGAGTTGGTGAGATTTCACCATGTGTATTTCAACCTTGTGCACACGTGTATATCTTACCGAAACGGTGGAAACACACCGCACCAAATGAACTAAGCTGATTGTGCTTCCCTTACAGATGAACAGACGCAGCAGAAAGGAACGTGGACACTCACAGAGCACGTGTCACCTCTGCTCAGTCTGCTCCTTGGTCCCATCAGATTTCACTCCCAGGTTCAAAGATACAGTACTGCAGGTGTTAAGGCAGAGACACAGAGCTTTAGTCCAGCACAGGCCCCTCTGAGTGGGGTCCTGGGCGGTGGCCATGAAGCCAGCCCAGCTGCAGGAGGCAGGCAGTCTTAGCAGGGGGAGCGCTCAGAGGACCCTCTCATTTGTACGTGGACGTAGTGGGGCTTGGGGGGAGAGCAGATTCTCTGAGAGGGGCTGGGGAGTCCTCCTTTCCCACGCCCCAGCTCCAGGCCCACCCTGCCCTGAGACCACCTGCTCTAAGACAGCAGGGGCGCCCGCGGTGTGGCTCAGCGGACTGAGCGGCATCCCGTGGACTGAGAGGGCCCGGCTGATTCTGGGTCAGGACACACGCCCCGGTTGCAGGCTCCATCCCCGATAAGAGGCGTACAGGAGGCAGCCAATCGATGTTACTCTCTCACATCAATGTTTCTATCTCTCCCTTCCTCTCTCTAAAAAAAATCAATAAAAACATATTTTAAAAAAAGACTAGCAAGCAGGGCCCTGGCCGGTTTGGCTCAGCGGTTAGAGCGTTGGCCTGTGGTCTGGAGAGACCCGGGTTCGGTTCCCACTAAGGGCACGTAACTTAGGTTGCAGTTTGTCCCCGGCCCTGGTTGGGTCGTGTGGGTGGCAACCACTTGATGTGTCCCTTTCACGTCGATGTTTCTCTCTCTCTGTCTCTCTCCCACTCTATCTGAATAAAATATCGAAAAATATCCTCAGGTGAGGATTAAAAAAAAATAAAAAAGACTAGCAGGGATTAGAGGAGTTCCTCTCTGTGGGCTGAATATTGCTTTACTGAGGGGCTCCAGGCACTGCCCAGCCCCGGGCAGGCTTCACCAGGACAGCTCAGAGCTCAGCCCATGCCAGGTCTCTGCTTCCCGTCCCTGCTCCAGCCCCGCAGGGGCCCGGGGGGCATCTGGAGGTGCCTCACTGGTTACTCCTTTCCTCCTCGTCCAGATTCGCAGTGTGGGCACAGGACTGTGTGCGGACACCAAGCACGGGGCCCTGGGCTCCCTGCTGAGGCTGGAGAGCTGCGTCCGGGGCCGTGGGGAGGCCGCCTGGAACAACATGCAGGTGAGGCCTTTCCCGGGACTGGCAGCCGGCTCTCTGTGCTCACGTGCTCAGGACTGGGAGGGACGGGCCGCGGTCAGTGCTGAGTGACAGGAGTCAGCCCAGGGGACAAGTCATGAAAGCTTCCTGAACTCCTCGGAAAGAGGAGTCCTTCACACTGTGATTAAGCCAGCAGTGGGGCTGCTGGTACAAACACAGTGAGAATGGCCTTCGCTGACAGAGGGAGTGGCTGGCTCCGGTCACTGGAAAGTCTAGATGATGTCATCGGGGTCTCTCCAGGGTCCCAGTTCTGTTTCCCTGTCGGCTCCCCGTGTGGTGGCAGCTGCCACACCAGCAGGGAGGCTTCCAGCCCCGGGGAGAAGGCTCATGACCTCGAGAGGCCTGGAAAAGCCTGGGCTCTCGGTGCTGGCTTCCCCGGCCAGTGAGGCCAGTGACGGTGCGATCCGGCCACAAGCTCACTTCTGCAGCCTGGGCCATGGCCAGCCTCCCCTGCGGAGAAGGAGAAGAGAGACGGGATTGGGTCCCCCAGGGATCACTCCCGAGGGGTGTTCTCAGAAGAAGGGAGTGCAAGCCAGCCTCCGGGCAAGCGGCCCGCTCGGGAAGCCGCAGCTAGCGTCGTGTGCGTCTGTGCTCCAAGCGCACCCTCTGACTCTGGCTCAGGGTGTTGTTAGGTCTCCTTCCTGCGGGTCTGCTGGCCTTCTGGGTGTCCCCTAATGCAAGCCGATAGGCGGGTCCTGCGCAGACGCCGAAGTCAGAGGACCCGCGCTGAGAACAGCAGGCACCGCCACAGCGCCCAGCCCCCCCCCATGCCCTCCCCATCCTTTCCCGGTAACAGTTCTCCTTAGCTAGTGGCGCTCCTTGACTAACTCTTCTGAATTCTCCAAGGCTACGATTTGGGGAATTTGTTTCAAAATACGGTGGGGGGTGAGGGTCAAGTTGTAACAAGGGTCACCACAAGGTGATGGGAACAGAAGTGGCCAGTGTACCCTTTTTCTGGGCCTCTCTATGTAAGTTTTTCCATAATTATAAAAGAAAGAAAGTCCCCTGGCTCTGCCGTTTCATCATGATGCCCCTGTGCGTCCAGGTATTCACCTTCACCTGGAGAGAAGACATCCGGCCCGGAGACCCCCAGCACACCAAGAAGTTCTGCTTTGACGCCGTCTCCCACACCAGCCCGGTCACCCTGTACGACTGCCACAGCATGAAGGGCAACCAGCTGTGGAAGTACCGGAAGGTAAGGCAGCCTGGGTGGGGGAACAGGGCGACCTGCTCGGTGTAAAAAGCAAGAAAGAAAGCGATGTAGCACCTCTCTCCCCCCAGCACAACGCGCTCACTCCTGCCCGACTTCCCAGACAACGAGAGAAGCCAGAGATCCAGAGTTTTATGTGGCATCTCTAGAATCTGAAATGTTGGCAGCTGAGCCCATTCAACACACACACACACACACACACACACACACACACACACACTGAGGACCAATGAATCTGACTGCAGACGGGCAGTGATTAGGGCCCAGGACGGGCATGCTTCAGTTTATACCCACATTCCCGTGGGCAATCTCAGGCACATGGCAGGGTCTCACTGTGTGCTCAGGAGGCAAGCACACAGGTCTGGGAGCCCCGGCCAGTCGCTGCCTCCTGCCTCCTTGCTGTTCTGCTGCTGCTGTTTGCCTGTGTCCCCAGCGCTGCCTGGCTGATGACCTCTGTGTTTTGCAGGACCGGACCCTGTACCACCCCGTCAGCGGCAGTTGCATGGATTGCAGTGAGAGTGACCACAGGATCTTCATGAACACCTGCAACCCCTCCTCTCCCACCCAGCAGTGGCTGTTTGAACACACCAACTCAACAGTCCTGGAAAAATTCAATAGAAACTGAGCTCACGCGTCTCCGCGGCAGGCTGGTGGGGCTGTCCCTGCCACTCACCGCAGCCTCCTCTCCGGAGGGGGAGGGGGCAGGGCTTCCGCGGACACCGTGACGCAAAGGTGCTGGCCAGTCAGTCCAGGGCAAAGCGGGCTCGTGAACTGGGGCCAGGCATCTGCCTGGTCCTGGAGGCTCTGAGCGGTGCAGGCAGTGTGGAGAGCAGACCCCATACGTGGTCCCACGAGAAGCAAAGCCTGCTTGAACCTTCTCCACTCTGTCACTATGTTCCCTCGAGCACTCTGCCAGGGCAGCCCTGGGCTAACTGAGGCTCGTCTGTGACAGTCCTTTCGGAAGAGGCGAAGTGCCTGTTGGGCAGCTGTGAGCACGCTGCCCCCGTCTGCAGCAGAAGAGGGCGTGCCTCGGGCCGCTGGGGTCAGCCTTCGAGAGCTTGCCTGTCGTGGGGTCTGTTCTCGGTCACAGCCCAGGTCATGCAGCCGCAGGCCATACCTGGGCCCTCGGAGTGCTCAGTCCTGAGCCCTGGCCAGCTGCCAGGCCTGGGGTCAGCCGCCGGACCCTCAGACGCTCCTCTGCAGCCGTTGCTCTCTGGTTACCTGAAATGCCCCCCTTGGCGCCCTCCCGGCACCAGGGCAGCCCAGCCGCTGCTTTTCCAGACTGATTCAGACGGCCGAGGGCGCGTGGAAGAGGCCTAGTAAGATCTCCAAACTCCACGCTCGGCCGAAGGTCCCTGGCCCTGGCCTCCATGTCTCTCCTCTTCCCTCCCTCCCCTCTCCCTCTCGCAGCCACTCGCCTCAGGAGGGGAACAGAGTGCGGGTGCTCACCTCACAAAGTCTGGAGGCCTTCAGGGCAGACCACAGCCAAGAGGCCTAGTCTCTGACCTCATCACCGTTCTAGTTCTCACACTGAACTGGAGAATCTTTAAAGAACTCTGTCATTTGATCCCAGACTAGAATGCTGCGCAGGACTCTGGCATCCAGTGTGGGTTCTAGCATGTTGTGGTTAAAGGAGCCAGCCAGCCACAGTACAGTGGAGGCAGCCCTCAGCCTAGGACAGTCAGTGAAACCCGGGTTGGTGGTGCTGGGGGAGGCGGGGCTGTCCATCTCCCTTCCAGAGGCCTTGTTAGGACAGGGTCCTCCGCAGACCTGAAGCCCTGCAGCCTCCCGTCTGCGTCAGGGGAGCCAGTGGAGAAGAGAACCCCGTGTTCCCGGGACAGATGCACACCCAGCTCCATGCCAGTCCTTCCTGTTTACCTTTTACTTTGTTAATTACATGTCAGACTCCCCCAGGGCTCCCCAACTAATAGGAAGCATTTCTGTAACCAGCCTGCCTCCCACTGATTCAGAAATGGAAATCGCATTCTACAGCCTATGGCTTCCATCAGCTAGCCCAGAAACACTTGAAATCGGTATTCCAATTAGAGTTGGGTCTCTCGATTTTATCATTTGCCAATTAAATAACTGAGACATAAATCTGGGAACAGAGCCACAGATCTGCCTTTGAGATGCTGGCTGATCTCAAGGCCTTCTGTGATCGGGGGGAGGGGGATAAACATTCCCGGTCACGACCACCCCGGTGAAGCGTGCGGCTGGCAGAGTATCACTCCTCGCCCCGCGCAGCCCTGCTCTGGCCACTCTCCGCGGCAGAGGCTGCCCGTGCTGGCGCTCGCTTGTGGGGCCCCAGCGGCTGTCTTTAGAAGTGGCTCTCGGTGGGAAGGAGTAAAGATGAGGCCCCTTCCAGAATCTAGGATAATGAGTGTTGTAATTTGGAGAGTGGAGTTAGGATTCATCATCCAAGAGCAATGCAGCATCATTAAAATAAAAACTGTGCCTTTTTAAAAGAAAAAAAAATGCAAATGTACAGCAGATCCCTAAACTTGAACCATTTCCTAGTGCCTTGCTAGACAAACATAAAGGGGCAGGGTTGGGGGGGGTTGTTTTTTGTGTGTGTGGGGGTGCCGTTTCTGTTGGATGAGTGTGTGTTTCTTAATGTCTAATTTCAAGCAGGAGATGTTGGGCCTAGAACAGGATCGGAGATGGACGTGCCCCCGGGCAGGGGCCAGAAGTTGTCCCAGTTAATGTGAGTGACACTCCAGATCAAAAGGGCAGCTGGACAGCTTGTGCAGTTTGTGGCCGAGAAGAGCCTCCACAGCCCCTGGGAGGGGCCCTGTTTGAGGCCATGCCTGCAGCCCCCATCCGAGCCCCAGACAGAGTGCAGAGCACGGGCTGGATCTCCAAATGGTCGCACTCCAAGTGGATGACAGCGTTCTGGGCACGACCAGGCCTCGTGTGGAGAGCAGGAGCAGCCCTCAGCCCGCCTCTCTCCCGTCCTTTGGGTCTGCTTTTGCACTCTCGGCCAGGGATGGGCAGGGTGTCTGAGCATTCTGGCCTTTGTCATCGCTGAGCCCACATCGCTGGCAGGTGACAAAAGTGCGTGACAGGGATGGCAGGAGACAAGCTCACTGCCGAGCTGACCAGCTGGCTGGTGGCAAATACTGGCCACTCATTGTTTTGGCCTCATTCTCTTTTTAAACTCGCTGTCTTAAGGATTTCAGATCCCCGCTCACGCCCCCAGCTGATGCCCAGAGAAAACAGCCGGGAGCCTCTGGAGGGGCTCTCAGCCAAGAAAGTGGTGGGACTGGGCCCTGTCCTCTGAAGCCTGTATTCTGAGCATGAGGTCACGGAACACGAGTGGCTAGAAAGTATGACCATGTGGCCCGCCAGCAGCCCTTCCAAACGGGACTCCAGAAACATTTCGGAGTCCAAAGAGCATCTGGGCCGGCGTACAAGGGCTTTGGGGGTGGCCGTGTGAACACCAGTGCACCTTGGGCCTCCAGCCTGAGCCCGGTTCAACTCTGAAACACCGGAAACTGTGATTCTCCCCTTCAGGAAGAAATCTGCTGTGGAGCGGGGGGAGGGGAGTGACATTAGGTCCAGGGGAGAGCGCAGTTGAAGACAGAGCATACGGATCCCCGAAGTCCACATGTATTTACTTTTCAAACCTCCTACCTGTTGAATTTCCTTTTCTCCCTAAGAAAGCGGTGGCATCCTTGAGCATGGCTCCGCGTCCCGTTTGTTGTCTCCGGAGCCTCATAGAGGGCCGCGCACTCCACGGGCCTGATGAAATCTCGAGCCCTTGCTGACTGCCCCTAGTTCGAACAGATCGGTGATCTCTTACCATTCCTGGGAGACCGTGCATTTTAATGTTTTCTGATTTTAATATTGAATGATTTCTAAGTGTGGGAGAGGGGCAAGGGGCGTGGTTCTGGAACTCTTCTCTGCTTTCAACTGATACTCTGTGAAAATCCAAGTGATATTTTAGTTCAAACTTGATCTTGAGCCAAGGCCCACGGCCACCTCTGGGGTGGGTATTGGACCTACATTCCAAGTGACAAGGTCCTGTTCCCATTCGCTCCCCCAGTGGCTTGACTCAGCCATGCCAGACAGTGGCGTCAGGCTCCTGTTCTGTCTGGGCTTGAAGACGGGGGTCCCAAGGGCATTAGAGGCAGGGACTGTTTGAGAAGTCAGACTGGGGTTCCAAAGAGAAAACTCAAGACCGTTGGCCTCTCTTCTCCTGCCTGGAAAAGTGAGCCTTTGTGAAGAACTGACTTACATGTACAATTGTGACTGTGATTGAGTAAACCTCCTTTCTTTCTGTAACGTCGTCTCTCGTTTATTCCGGGTCATGCGCCATTCTCCATCCCGGCATTCCCCACACGCTCATTGGACACCTACTCAGTACCAGGCCCTCTGCTGAGTAAGGCCTAAAACAACTAACCAAGATGATTTCAGATGTGAATAGGACTATAAAGGATATAAAACAAGATATTTTCGAGACTGGGGTAGCATACTTATTCAGAAATACACTTAGAGAACTTGGCAATTTGCTCAACATTAGGTAGGATGGTTGGGGAATGCCTCTCTGCAAATGCTGGAAGACATGAGGGAATGTGAGCCAAGAAGCAAGAGGAGGGAGAGAGCTCTAGGCAAAGGGAACAGCCGGTGCAAAGGTCCTGAGGCAGGAAGGCATTCCCATGTTGGAGGCACAAGAGGTGAACTCAGAGAGTTAGGCAGGGTGGCCCACAAAGGGTCTTACAGACTACACCCAGTAGTGCAGGATTTCAGGAGGACAGTGACGATGTGAAATAAGCTTGCCTCATTTCTGATGCTCGCCCATCAGCCACAAGTCTCAGCTCACCAAAACTGATGCTTTTGAGTATTCCATTTGTGTAATGCTATGTAGTGGAAAGAACACTGGCTGGCCCTGCTCTGCAACAGGCTCAGTGAGATCTTGTGTGAATCCTGCCCCCTTTCTGGCCTCAGTTTTCCTCAGTAAAAATGAGTTTTTGGATGATGATTCCAGCTCCTCCTACATTCCTGTGGTTGCATCTTGGTGTGGGGCTGCAGGAGACCGTGAGCAGAAGCTGCCCGCTGTGCTGTCACGCAGAGCCCGCCAGAGGGCGCTGTGGACCACAGCTTGGAGAAGGCTGATGAACAGAAAGGGGGAGTGTTCACTGGCCACTGTGGCAGGTTTAATCTTTGAGAGAGTCGCTGTTTCCCTTTGTAGCTTCAATTTTTTTTTTTGGAGCCCTGGCCGGTTTGGCTCAGCGGTTGGAGTGTCAGCCTGTGGTCCTGAGAGACCCGGGTTCGGTTCCCGCTGGGGGCGCGTGCTTCGGTTGCAGTTTGTCCCCGGCCCTGGTCGGTTGTGCGGGTGGCAGCCACTTGATGTGTTCCTTTCGCATCGATGTTTCTCTCTCTCTCTCTGTTCCTCTCTCTCCCTCCCACTCTACCTGAACAAAAGAATGGAAGGGTGTCCCATACCCAGAGATTTCATCTAGCAGCATGATTTGACACTTTCCCATAGGAATAATCCATCTAAGGAGCCTGGTAGTCAAGCTGTCTTTGGTCACAAAGTTTCAGTCAAGAAGATTTAGGTTAAAAAGTAATCACAGAACAATTTTAAGTTTCCTGTTACTCTCTCCTGGTCCTTTAAGCTACTTCGATTTTTTTTTTTTGAGTCTTTTACCTCCCATAAACAAGATAATTTTCTTCTAAAAACTTTAATAGTTTCTTTCAAAAGCTTAAATTCCTACTTGGAAAAGAAAAAAAAAAGGAGAGGGAAGAACATTGCAGGTGTTGGGGGGCAGCATGTGCAAAGAAAGAAGCTGTGAAGGGAGAGGACGGATATGAAGTCAGTGAGGCTGGAGCAGAGTTGGAGAGAGAGCAGAGACAAGAAGCAGGAAGTAGGCAGAAACTAGACCCTGCCGGGCCATGTTAAGGAGTCGCTGGTCTTTAACTTAAAAGCAGTAGGAACCATTAGAGGGTTTTAAATTGGGTGACATGGGAGCATCAGATGCGCCCTTGGCTGATGCTAGGGTCAGGGGTGACTTGCTCAAGGAGCTGGGTACATAGTAGGCACCCAGGGCCTACAGAGAGAAAGGAATCCAGGGGCAGCTGGCCCTTGGTGCCTCCTCAAAGTCACCGACTGCTGGAAGGAAAGCTCCATCCTCCGGGAGCAGGCGGGGGCAGAGAAAGATGACATCTCTCATCCTCCCACACCCACAGGTGAGAGTAGAAGCCAGGTAACAATGCTCGGCTGCACAGAGTAGGAGCTCTGGGCCTGACACACTTATTCAGAAGCAGATTTAGAGAACTTGGCAATTTGCTCAAAATTTTGAATTCTCTTTTTCTCTCTTTGAAATGGGGACTTTGAGGTCCCTAGTAAGAGCCCAAACAGTATTTGATGGACGAATGCAGTTTGAGTAGTTTCGTTACACTTTAGTCCTTTTCCCCCCCTCCTCACAGCCCACAGACCTGTTAGCGCTCCCGCATTGGTTATTTTCTATGCGCCCCTGAGAATGTCCTCTCCTGTCCCTAGGCCTCCGATTCTCCATATGACAATAGAGAAGGGGAACAAATTAGATAATGGCCAGCCTGGACTCAGTTCTATAAATCTTGCATCTAGTATTTTGCAATGGCCCTGGCCTTGCTTAAGGATTTTCCAAGCTCAGCAACGAGATGGAAGTGGGACCCACTTCTGTTTCTGCTGGTGTCTTCCACCCCAAAAGGCTTCTGGGTTTTTGCTGAAGCGGGTCCAGGATTCAGTATCCAAAGCGTCCTTCCTGCAGCTGCTCACAGCTCTGCCAACCTCTGGCCCCAGGCAGCTGCCTCCTTTGTTCACCCTCAAGGCCTGGACTGCCTGGCTTGGCAATACCTGGGCTCCATGATGGTGCCCAGGGCAGCCTACCGTTCTTACCCTCGAGTGGGACTTGATTCAGGGCTAGCGGGTGATGGCCCTGGGTGCACTCACACACTAACACTCGCTATGCTAGAGAAACAAAAGACCACTCGTGAATCCTTAGAAAAAGCAGGTTTCTTAGCAACTTTACAGCTTTTATTCAGGAGCTACTTTGAATTGAAGTAGCAGTCTACGACCATACCACCCTGAACGCGCCCGATCTCGTCTGAATTGAAGTAGCGTCTGATCTGCCAGCTCCTGCCTGGGGATGGGGAGAAGGGGACGGCGGGTCTGCCTTTGCTGGAGCTGAGAGCCCAGCTCCCCCACCATTGCTCTATATTTACTATAGATCATTAATTCATTAACATTGAACTCGGGGCCAACAACCCTATAACTAATGATTCGATGAAACTTACATAACCCGTAAATGCTCTCTGTAAGGCACATCTTGGTGCCTGCAAACACTAGACAGCACCTCGGCACCATGCTTGAGGGGTGTTTTAAACCAAAATCACCAACAGAAGGTACAAAAATAGGAAAAACGTGGCACCAAATAGACCACAGAAAGGACACTTGTTTACAGCGTGAGAGCTGAACCGATCTCCACTGGGAACACGTGTGTTAGGTGACTTGAATGTTTTGCCACTCTGCACATGCTCGTGTCTA